ATTTTTCTTTATGATTTTGCGCTTAGCTTTTACTCGAGGATCAACGACAAGATCGTGGTGAAACTGTTAATCTCTAACGTACATCTACCAATTCTACAAAAATCAATATTTTGAAAACTTCGTACGTACTTCTCTAGTTTCTAGTGTCTAGATAATAAAAATTGTTAGTCTTACGTCCAAAGGTGTAGCCATGAGGTTGTCCACCGCTGAGCGCGTCAACGAAAAAGGAGTTTCGGTATCTTGGTCTCTGTTTTACATAAAAAATAAACCAAAAAATATTTTTTTTACCTTAAAGACATGTTAAATACATACCTACTTTTGAATTTTGCATATATTTTGTTATATTTCTTTAAAAAAGTAACGAAAATGACACTGATTTTGACCCGTTCAGGGTGGCCTAACCCCTAAGTGGAATCATAGTCGTCAGCAAATTCACAGTATTTTAAATCGATGAACGATTTCTAATTATTTTCAAATGCTATACTTAGCATTAAATACACCCCCCGCATACTGTATTGAAATTCTTTTAATTCGGAAGGGGAGATTTTTATTCTAAAATCACCCTTTTAGAATCCGGCAGTGCTTGTACTGATAGGTAAATCGCATCATTGACATCATTGACATTTTTAGACCCAACGTACGTACGTACATAAATTTTCAGCTCTACTCTAATTGATATTCAGTTTGCGCTGTTTGCGCGCATTTGTTTTATCGCCACCAGCCTAAATCATCATAATAATCCTAACGCGAAATGACGAAAATCGTGGAACTATACTGAGGATGCATCTATTCTATTTCCGGAACGTGAGCGCCGATATCTGGAAAATATATCAGTCGAGGAAGACAATGCCGCAGAGTATCTGGAGTTCGGTGTAAATTAAAAATTGTATTCTTAAGCTTAAGAATATTTCACTTCCTTTTATAATATATTTTCTTCTGAAATAAACGCCAAAAGCGCTCCTCTTAGTTTAAGAAAAAAATCCTCTAAAGAGGACATTCTTATCAAACATGTAGGAATATATCGTATGTTTTCATGTACCGTTCTATTATTTAATATTTGAGATCATTAATCATCACAAAGAACAGCTCTACAAATGAACATTTACTATTTATAATATTACACATATACTATTTACAATATAACAGCGTGCACCTATTATATTTTTACACAATACATATTACATATGTCCTGTATTAATGACAGGATTTATATTTTACAGAAAGAAATATTGACTTTATTTTATAATATAAAAGTTTAAATTATTATATCTGTAACATTTTAAAATAACTTTTTTTAGCCTATTTTATCATTAAAACTATATTGATTTTACACAAAATTTATTTGAAACTTACAATTACATAGAGTGTCTGACATAAGAGTACCCCTACGAAAAGTGGTGATAGATTGGGTCAGACTAAGAAGAAAAGTCATGTACCATTTTACAAAATTCGCAATAGTTATCGAATAATTTATTGAAACGTTTGCGCCAATGAGCGTGTAGAGGGCGGTAGGCCGGGCTCGAAAGGCATGTCAGAGCTTTATATACCAGATCTAGCAATGGTGAGCGAGAGGTGGAACGACGCGCAACGTAACTTCGCGCCCGAGAAAAAGAGCGAGCGATGAGTTTATGTCCCGTGTCGCCCACCGCTCGCACTCGCCGCTCGCACTCGCCGCTCGCGCCCGCACCTCGCATGCCTTCCAAGCCCGGCCTTGCCGCTTTTCACGCGCTCATTCGTTCAGACGTTTCAAACAATTATTTGACAACTATTGCGAATTTTGTAAAACGGTACATGACTTTTCTTCTTAGTCTGACCCAATCTACCACCATTTTTCGTAAGGGCACTCTTGCGTCAGACAACCTGTATAATATTTTAGACCACTTCAAAGCTTAAAAAATATTGACATGCAACGACACGAAGCTTGTACAGCTTGTAGCTTGACATAATTGCAAGATAAAATACGAAAATTGTAGTTTTTCCATCTCGATTCATGCCCCTCTCATATTTGGCATATACGTCGGATTTGCGCCGCGAGTTTTTCACTTTTCCTCGCGCATTGAATCGTCAATGAGGCGGAGCGTCGCGTACTCTCTAACTCGCGAGCCAAACCGCGGAGGTGGACGACGATTCCGGCGGCCCCGTGATCTGTCGCGGCGTTCAAACAGGAATCCTGTTTAAACCTGGTTAGCAGTCAGATGGCCGGCAGAGAGCTCACGTGAGCCGCGATCCGCGCGTCGGTTTGCTCTTCCTATTTTCGTATCCGCGCGGTATATAAAGAGCTCCGTCCTCGGCGAGCGTCGCCGAGAGATTTGGCAGCGGTGACCGCGCTTTTCTGCGCCGCGCGCGGTGCCGTACATAGAGCGGACCCCGGACCCCGGACGCTCTATCCGCGAGCGGGGATAGAGCGTCCAGAACGCAGAGAGGACACGCGGTTTAAGTCTGTCGTCCGTCGGCATATAACGTGGACACTCGGTCGTCGCGACGCCCGTTTTGCACACGCGTCGGCGCGCCGATCCTCGCGCTTCTCTCCGGACGCCGCGCCGCGCCGCGCCTCAAGATAGATTTCTCGTCCTCGCCTCGTCGCGCGGCTTCTTCGACCAGCGAAAACGGACGCGAATGTGAAACGCTGACCCGAACATTGATGATGCTACCGCGATCGTCCACGGAAGAACATTGTTCCCCAGACGCCAAGAGATCCCTTTCGAAGTGGTACCGCACGAACCGCGGTCTGACCTTATTCCTTCATCGCGTGGCCGTCACGCTCTTTGGACCGCAGATCTGTTAGGGCGAGCGGTCGGGTACGTTGACATGAACTCCAAATAAAGTCGATGGATAACATGTGGTGCGAATGACGTCCCTTCTGCGAAGTCTCGGCAGTGTTCATCGGGATTAATATACGCGCCACATACTCGAGGGGTGAGAGAGAAGGCGAGAACGCGAAAATGGGGAACACCGACAGTTCCCGCGATGTGGAGATGAGTTCGCTGTCGGTAGTAACGCCGAATGATCGCCCCCATATCATGGTGAATACAAATTATACGAATTATGTTGGTTAACGATCCAAGGTAATTTGCTAAACGAGGAATAAAAGTATTGTGTGAATAAATTAACGGCCAACTCACGAGCTAATACAAGATGTTAGTAGATCTCAAAATCAGTTTTATTCGTAAATACATGTAACGTCGAACCTTTCAATCTAACTTGGTCCTCAGCAACAAACTCGGAAAAGTTAGTTTAAATTTTATAATTATATGAAGCAGTTTACAATTTTTTTAAATTTTGATTATTTAGAATTCACAACAATTGACAAAGTTCGAATAATCTTATAATTTGAACCAATCCATTGTTTCAATAACCATGTTGTGTGTTCATCAAATAAATAGCTTCTAAATTATAAAATTGATATCTAAGGAATAGTGGATGCGAGAAAAATAACAGGCTAGGATTAGACCAGGATTCGAACCTGGGACCTTTCGCTTGCCAGGCGAATGCTCTTCCAACTGAGCTATCTATGCTCACACTCGAGAGCTTTCTCGCTTACCTACTTTATTTTTCTGAATAAAGTAGGGATAGTATACTAGCAGCGCGACTCGAGAACGATGTATGGTATAATATCTCACTCAATGGTTTGGTACATAGTATAACTATAGTAGGTCCACTCCGTCATTTGTTTCGTTTTGCGTCGATCCCTTCTGCGCATCCGACATTGCTCTGGGCAAACCAATAAGAGAAAAGTTGTATATGTGGTAGTGTGGCTTTGATAAGTACGTATACACATGTCGCTGGATTTTGCCCGGGTGTACGGTAAAATGCCACGTGATCGGGGCCGCAAAGATCAAAGGAGCCGACAGAAAGTGGACGTACTAGTTATACTATGGTTTGGTAGATCATCGTATGGATGCAGAGTGGCTACACTCCGAAGATTCCTCTAGTAAATTAAGAAATTCCCCACCGTTACCCTACCTGAACTACAGATTGTCCTCGGAGCGGGCAAATGCGAAACAAACACGGCCTCCATAGTATATTATTCCTACTTTAGTCAGCACAATAAAGTAGGCAAGCGTGAAAAGTTTCGAGTGTGGGGCTGGATAGTCCAGTTGGAAGAGCATTCGTCCGGCGAGCGAAAGGTCCCGGGTTCGAATCCTGGTCCAGTCCTAGCTCGTTATTTTTCGGGCCGAGAAATTAACAAGTGGCACCTCTTAGTGCCTATCTCTCCCAAGGGCGCGTTCAGAATCACTGCCCAAGTGCTCCAGTGTACCATTCTATCCTTGTTTAATATACGGTGTGCAACAAGGATAAAATGATACGCTGAGGTACTCGGGTGGTGTTTCTGAACGTAGCCCAAGATGCACTTCTATTTATTACTATGGAGTCGAGTGAGATACCAAGCATTGCTCTGGATTCGCGCTACTAGCATTATTTATTTCTACTTTACTCGGTAAAATAGAGTAAAGATGGGATAGCTCGGTAAGAAGAGTAACTCCCACCAAGCGGAAGGTCCCAGGTTCCAAATCTGACCTGGTCTCCTCGTTTTTATCGCCCAAAAATCACTAGGCGTCTTAGTGCCTACCTCTCTGATGACACACCCCTATTTATTATTGTGGAAGTAAATCCGGAAGAGCGTTGGCACGCGCTGCAAAACACCGCCGATCAACAATGTGTACGCGGCTTGATGTATATCAGACGATGCGAGGCAACTGCATAATAATTTCAGTGGTTGCAAAACTGACCTGTCCCAATCCGCTCCCCTCCAAAAGAGACAATTACGAGCGACAGGTCATCGTCATCGTCGTCCTTGCGCATTTAAACGCGCGTTCGCTGATGTGCTTTCGCGACCCCGCTTTCGACCCCGCTTGATTAATCGGCGCGCCGCGCACCACGAGCTCGTGACGACGAGCTGATCGTGGACGATAACGCGCCGACCTGCGAGGGTAATTGATTCGTTTCAACTCGTAATTCATTCGTAATTTAACTCGTCCCCTCTTTCTGTTCTGTTGCAGAGAACGCCAATGCGCCCGATGATAGCGGAATACGAGCCGAAGAAGCAGGGTGTGAAAACAGAGCTCTCAGACGTGGTGCTTGTCAAGTAAGTCTCTAAAATTCCGCTAGAGAAATCAACGCAAACGAACGGCTCAATCGATAGTTGAGCTCGTTCACTATCTGCTACCACGACCAATCATCACTATTGCTTTCTTGCCAAACCCAAATGCTCGAGCAAACGTGAGTGAGAACAAAACCCGAGGATCATATATTGTGCATTTACGTCTTTTTCTCCCCCTCCGCCCCGTTAATGTGTATACTCTACAATCCATTTTCTTATGCTGTACTTTATATTTACTATCGTCATATATTTCAATTGATCCACTCATTCTCCTCTTCTGTTTGTTTTTTGTTCCGTTGTTTGTAAACTATTCTAATTGTTAGTACTAATCATGCATACCGCCTGATCGCTGACGTAGAATTCGTAGCGTAGCTGGCACCAGGGATGCTTGACGGCCGCCTGCTGAATCTTGGACGACTGCGAGGTTGCTCGTTTGTGTTGCGTACGGATATGTACCCGCTTACTGTGTCATGTTCCTTCACGTCGTGCAATCGGGAAATTCATTTAATCGAGAACGCACGAGGCCTCGTCAACCCTCAAGATATCGATCCGTGGAATCCGACAATAAATGTCCAAGAAGTATCTTTTTTAAATATTAATATTATCCCCTTTTTCTGTTTACATTATTAACAATAGATAAGTAATATTATTCGACCGGAACTGACAGAAATTTATTGCAACAAATATTACCTCAGCCAGGATTTGAACCTGAATCTCCCTTTCATTGTTAATAATATTTTTCCCCAAATGTTTCTTCTTTATTTTCGTCATTTTTACTAAGGGGATGCTGGAGTGAGTCTGCACTTTTCGCATCATTTTTCCTCTAAAACTGTCAATCAATTCGTGAAAACACCATATGCTGTTCTCTAATTTAACTCGATTAGTGGAAACTAGTCGGTCTGTACGTAAAAGCTACATCCTTGAAATTAAGTTTAGAAGCCAAAAGTTTAGAAGACAAAAAATTTATTCGCTCGAATAAGTTTTAAGTTACCTAACTTATGCGAGTGAATAGACTTTTGATCTTGATTTCAACGATACCATGCTGTTTTCTGATTTAGTCCGATTAGTGGAGCACTGTCGGTCTACACGCAAAAGCCATACAATTTGTATATTACACAAATGTTTTTCATAAATGGACAGCTCTAGGAGCGAAAGGTGCAAAACATGCAGAATCATTCCAGCATTCCCTTAACGATGCCATTAGCAGCTATTTGCGCAAAGTACATAATAACGTCATTAACGTTCACAAGATATGCCCCTAAATTTCAATTATAATTCGTTTTTAAGCGGAAATGGTTCGCTAAATTATTGCCGCAATAAGGAAAACGCGATATCTTGAAGGTTGAAACTAATGCCGAATCGACGATCCGCGAATCGTTCCATCACTGTCATCTTGCGGATAATACATATAAAATGAAAAGGTTTCTCTCTCATCGTATGAATAAACAAGCGACGACGGACATTAACGATATGTCTATAATAAGATCTTATCTCGAGTTGGCAGATAAACAACGAACGAATAGTCAAAAGGTTTCTCTCTCGGTATTACGCACAAGGTCGTGATATGCAAATAAAAGCCGCGATACAAAGGATTTTGCCCAAACTGGTTGCTTCTACTTAATTAATGTGTCAGATTACTATCGTAATATAAGTATATTTATGGTACACGAATTTTGAAAGAAAGACTATTCATTGTTCTGAACATCTTTTACGCGCAATAAAATTCTTAAAATGGGACGATGGTCGGTTCCTTAACGCCTAAAAGATCTATTGTCTGCTCTTCCGCCGTAAAATCTGGTAATCAACAAACGAGAAAGAGCGGAAATAAAAACGCGGACGTTTCGCTCCTTTCGTCGACCGATTTAGCGGCGCAGCCGTAACGAAATCTTTGGATCCTTTGCGCTCGAGAGACGAGACTCCTCTCTCTGCTGCCGTTTTTACCTTCGTCACTCATCAGAACCCGTTTACGCAACCACCTCCTCGCACGTGCGAATTCCCGTGACCTTCAAGCAGTTTGCGCGAATTGTGCGGTCGGCTGATCTTTGACACCTTCGTGCTTATACATTTATGCATTTATCCCGGATTTCCTGCATTATTCTCAATACCGCGATTCGCGCTGTTCTAATTTCACTAAACGGAATATCCGTACGGTCAATTGTTCGCCAAGGCCGACTGATTTCTAATTCCATTTAATTCTCGTGCTCTCCTCGGGGTCGCTTCACAGCCATTTGTGACTTTCAAGCGTCGAAGTTACGACAAATGTGATAAATTCCGCAGAACGACGAAATTGCATCTCTCGTGAATATCCAGTGTACTGAGAATTAAATCACGGCCGAAGATCTCGCGTCTAATTTTTCCCACAATTTCGTTCATCGCGAAAATTACGACGTTTAGCAAAATATTACATCGTACTTGCGCTCTTTGTGCGGAATTGCAATGATAACTAAGCGAGCAAGAAATTGTTCGGTAAGAAGAAAACCATTATGTTAGATCGAGATCAATTTGTGCTCCGCGCGTATTTAAATTATACAATTTGCGTCGAGTAACGTCGGTCTCGTTTGCAAAAAAGAAAAACGGCAACAGAAGGAGAATCGTTACGGTTCTGCCCCGTCGCTGACCGAGAATGCTTCGTGTAGCAGTCATGCGGTATGCAAAGCAAAATATCTTCCCAGAGGATAAAGGATTTGTCTTTACTGTATAATATGTGCATTTATATGATTCCAGACTAGCGTATAAATCTCCGGGCGTAGATTCGGGCTCTATGAAAGTGCTCTGCGAATAACGAAAGAGAACGAAAAAAAAAAGATACTATCGTTGAGAAAAAAAAAAGAAAATGCGCCACCGTCGGATCGACACTTTTCCTTGACGCTTTAGCTCGATGAAACTCGCACGAAACGACGACGCGACGCGACCGCTGACTTGGACGCGACACGAAAATGTCATCGGACGGTTGCAAAATCCGTGGCCGAGAGCCGAAACATGTATTGGCATATCGATATCCGGTGATAGATCTGTACCGACATAAAAGCGAAAAAAACCAAAAGAAAAACTAATACGCTCGGCCACGTGCGCAAGGCTCGCAGGCAAAAAGGAGGCTTGTATAGTCGTCGTACTGCGTCGTGGCGCTGGGCGTCGCGGTGATGCAGTGCGGTGGTTTGCGGCTGCCCTTCTGTATGTATTAACGGCCTGTAAACGCGACGCGTTTGAAAAAAAAAATCCCTTACGGTCACGTTGTAACGCGTGACGTGCCGGAACACATACAGACTCTAATCCCCGGGGAGCTTTCTCGACAGAAAGTCTCGCACGGCCACGGGAGAGAAACTACCGCACCTAAAAGACATGGGTACCTATAATACCTAAACACCTATACCGTGTTCTAATCTGTTTTTTTTTTAACAAATCTATAACATACACGAACATTTATTCTTTCTCTCACTATCTCATACGCACACGCGCGCGCTATACACCCCTTAGAACATATATGTATACCTGGAAGAGGCATAGCCGATTATAGTTGGCCCCCACCGCATGTATGTCCTTGTCTGTACGTTTACTGCGATTTATATGATGTTGTATACTAGTACTGTTCATAATACTGTGTATATATGCCGCGGTTATCATCTCGCGCAAGGGTATAGCAGATTTTGTACAGACAAGATAGGCAGACGTTCGCGACCCTTCTACTACATTTTCCAGATCGGCTGTGGCCATTCCAAGTATAGAGAACACACAGGTAAACGCAATCCAAGATGGACGGCAGTACCGGCGCAAGCCGCTCAACGCGCGTATTTTTCCCCAATTGTGTTTTTATTTGATTTTTATTGTTTTGTCTTGAAATAAAGTGATGTGTCAGTCATTAAGTTCGAAATTAAGTATGGGCATTAAGTAGGAACCCTAGAGGGCCCCCACCCGCGCTGCTTGAGCTGGTACTGCGGCGCGCACGGGATTGGTCGACTTAATTGTTAAATAACTCAGTGAATAATTGCCGGAGAGTAAACGTGACGGAGGACTTTTGTCTCACAATTTTACCCTCTTTCACCCCCTCAAAGGTCAATTATGAGTTTTGGGACATCCTATATGTTCTAATATGTACACATACACAAGCATACATACGCGTACACACATCATACTTGCGTATAGAGCGAATAACTCGTATCGTGCGAATTAATCACGTTTTTGATCGGTCGGAGAAAATTCCCCCACGACTCCATCTACGAGAGCGTGGACGTGTCTGCATGTCTCCGTGAATTAACCATCAATTATTAACGTGCCGAAGCATCGTGCTCTTACCCTCCTTCCGTTTTTAGAATCTGTCCGCCCGCTGCCGTCCGACTTTTCAGGGTGTAATCTGTGTTTGCGATCGAGCGTAAATGTGACGAGCGCGGGGAAAGGGGATGGTAAAAGCCGAATCACAAGGCTTGTTTCCTGTTGCTACACTGGTGAACTAGTGTAATAAATTAGAGCAAGACAAGTAGATTTTTTTCTCATTCTAGCTTACCACGCCAGTTCGCCAGTGCAGGAACAGAAAACAAATCTATCGTATAACTAGTAGACCCACTCCGTCATTTGTTTGGTTTTGCGTCGATTTCTTCTGCGCATCCATCATTTTTATGGTCCAACCAATGAGAGACAATTGTGCGTGTGGTAATGTAGCTTTGATGAGTATATAGACACACGCGCCACTGGATTTAGACCAAAAACATGGCGGGATACCATGTGATCGGGACCGAAAAGATCCAAGAACCGACAGAAAGTGGGCGTACTAGCTATACCATGGTCAAATCAAACTAGCAATTGTCAATTCGGATTGGATTGGGATTGGTGATTGTCCTCTAGCCGATGAAGGCAAAGCAATCAGCAATTTAATCGGCTCTCATTGGCTAAATGAATCGTCAATCGTCAATCCCAATCCAATACGTGTCGGCAATTGCTAGTCTGATTATACAATAGTATAAAGCCCGTATTAGACTACGAATTGAGATTGGGATTAGATTGAAATTTGACCAATCACAGTAAAGTTTACTAATCTCAAGTTTAGTAACTTTTACTCTAATTGGCTAAATATCAATCTACTCAATCTCAATCCGTAGTCTGATACGGGCTTGACTAGTATGGCCACTCTTTGTCGGTTCTTTGATCTTTTCGGTTCCGGTCACGTAGTATTCCGTCATGTTTTTGGCCCAAATCCAGCGACGTGTGCGTGTACGTACTCGTCAAAGCTACCACGCACATACAACTTTTCTCTTATTGTTTGGGCCGAAAAATGACGGATGCGCAGAAGTGATCGACGAAAAGTAGGTATACTAGTTGTACCATATCTGACTCGACCTTAACGCAAGAACCGTCGTTTACATGCGCGACCGCGCAGAATGCGCGGATTCAGCATTCGGCGCTATTATTCGCAAAGTTTTAACAACAAAGTAATATCGCTTTACGAAGTCTCGTTTGAAATTCCAATCCGACAGCGATCGCGATCCGAGTCATCCGATTCGGACTCGGTGAAATTTTTCGCTAAAAAAGAACCGAGTCGCGCGTCAAACGTCTCGCCTTAGACTACGATCGGCGATTTGGAATCTAACAAATGAGTTATGCAACCCCTCGAATACAAGTCGACTCGTCGAAACAAATAAAAATATACAGATTTCGGTGGATTCACAAAATTCTAAGTAACCGATTCTCAATGCGCGTTTCAACGCGTCGAAACTTACGATTGTTTCGCCCGTGATCTTCTTTTGGTATGAACGGACGGAGAGTTGGACACAGAAGGAGAAACGATTATTCGAAAGATTCAACGGACGGATTAAATATTTGCGAAACATTCGCATTATATTCGAACGTGTGTATAGCGTGAGGTTTGTCCAATTTTGAGAGATCAAAGTCTAGACAGTCTTCTAATAATGATCTTTACTGTCGTGCTTGCAGAAACTTGAAAGACATAAAAATAGCTTGTTTTTCGAATTATTTTTAAAATGCGAGTATAATGTGAAGGTGAGAGTCCAATTTGAGAAGTCGCTCTTCTTTTTAAAGCTCAACATAGATTCGATATCAAGCGGAAAGAATTAGAGCTGGGAGCGAGTGTGATATGTACTTAAAGATCCAAGTCAAATCCAATCGATTAATCAAGTTTTATTTTCCAAGATTCAAATGATATTCGCAAATGATATTCCGTACAATACGTACTTGCGAAATAATAGATCCCAACTATAATTTTTAATTTTTAAATGATTATCTGCATAATTCAAAATGTACTTCTAAATACGTAGTTTTTATCGAGTCCACTTGAAGTAACATTCTTGTTTTTCAAGGCACAATCCTCAGAAGATTCGATTTCACTCAGATCCCAGTCTATTTGAAGATTTTTTTTTAAGTTTTAAAATAATTACAGGAGTTCGAAGTTATGCCAACAAATTCGAATTTATGAGATCGAAACTTTACCTCGGGGATAAAACATTTTTGCACTTCATAGATTGGACATACCCCACGTTTCGCTTTCTCCAACACGTCTTTTTTTTCTGCCGGCTTTGCGCATAACATCGCAATATTCTGCGTAAATTCACGACGTATCGCACGTTGTTCGGCTTGATCCAGGCACGCTTTGACGCAGAGGCTCGCAGATGACAACCTGAAATAGCGAGGTAGTACAGATCTCCCCGCGGATGAGACCATCGTCGTTAGAGACGTCGAAATCCCTGCCACGATGATAGGGTACCTCTTGAGTGCATGCTCCTCGGCATGCATGCGTCTCGCGCCCTGTCTGCGCCTCCGCTATCCATCTCTCTCGGCATGCGAGCGCGCGAGAAGGAGAAGATCCTCCTAACCACGGCACATTCTTTCATTACATTCCCCTCTTTCGCATCAGGCACGATAGAAATCGTGGGCTCGAGGAAAATACCGTGTAAAACAGAACCAGGTCTCACGTAACACTTATTATCCCACGCGCAAGATATATATGTGCATATGTAATGTATGGGACGTCGCAGAACCTCCCCCACCCCCCCGCTGTTCCTTTTTTATCTACGTACTTTTTGAGGTGTCAACTCGCCGACCTTCTCTCAACGGGAGACCCAATTGGACATATCGCTCTCTCTGCCCGACTCTGTAATAATCGCGATTAGGTATCTCATTCGAGCTCTTGAAGCCGGTCAAATAGTTCGTAGATGAAAGAAGCGGCGACGTCCCTGCGGGAACACCCTGTATATACGTAATTTACGTCCCATTCACGGAAATAACTCGCCAGCGGTTACGCTGCGGTATGCTAACGTCGCCGGTTTTGCAGATACAAGTGCGAGAAAAATGACGTGCCCATTACGGTCACGAACGGCTCGACCTTGCCGCTCGTGGAGCGACCGACCGACGAGGAGGCAGCCCTTTACGACCCGTTCGAGCACCGCAAGCTCGCCCATCCCACCTCGGACCTCGACACGCTCATACATTTGCTCAAGGGGAGCCTGGGCACGGGCATACTCGCTATGCCGATGGCCTTCCGCAACGCCGGCCTCGCCTTCGGTCTCTTCGCCACCTTCTTCATCGGCGCGGTCTGCACCTATTGCGTTCACATCTTGGTCAAGTCCGCCCATCTATTGTGCAGGCGGTTGCAGACACCCAGTCTGGGCTTCGCCGACGTGGCCGAGGCAGCCTTCCTGGTGGGGCCCGAACCCGTTCAGAAATACGCTAGACTTGCCAAGTGAGTTTATTCACGGAGGGACGGTTACGTTTTTATCTTTTCAGGATTACTTAAGAAGCGCGAAGCCCGACAGACTTTTCCGCGGTCTATCGTACGAAGACTCGATGCACTTTGCACTGCTCTCGCCCGCGTCATTCAGTTGTTCAATGCCGTTTCAGGGCGACGATCAATTCGTTCTTGGTGATCGATCTGGTTGGATGCTGCTGCGTGTATATCGTCTTTATCTCGACCAATCTGAAGGAGGTCGTGGATTATTACACAGAAACGGATAAAGATCTACGAGTGTACATGGCCGCGTTGCTACCGCTGCTCGCTATCTTCTCTCTCGTGAGGAATCTCAAGTATCTCGCACCGTTCTCCATGGTGGCGAACGTGTTGATCGCCACCGGCATGGGCATCACCTTCTACTACATCTTCCAGGACCTGCCCACGATCAGCGACGTGCCGAATTTCTCCAGCTGGTCCCAGCTGCCTCTTTTCTTCGGCACTGCTATCTTCGCCCTCGAGGGAATCGGCGTTGTAAGTATACTCGGAGCCTACTTCGATCAAACTCTGGTAAACGAACTGGTTATTAACTTGGGCTACCAACAGCATTTCTATACTAATAAGAGATCTTTCTCCCTTCCTTTCGTTCTGATACAAAATGTGTTCTTATTTGTCACGTTGGCAACTCCGTTGATTGAGTTAATGATCAATAATTAAATTACCTGGGATTCGCTCGAAATGCATCCCCATTCTCAAAATCGCATGTAGAAATATTAAATAATGTTAGACGCGAATAGAATATTAAAACTTGTACTTTGTAATTTACAAGGGAACTTGTTTAAGCTTTACGATCAAGACGCTTGTGAAAAAAATTATTTAAAAGTCTTGGAAGATTATTAAAAAGTTATTAAAGAATTATTGACTGAAGCGCTACAGTAAAACCTGATATTGATTAGAATGCGATTCGCAGTGCGATTATCGCAAAGACAGATATTACGACACTACGCATCAGAAATAACTTTGCATTCAGTTGCTAGACACGTTCGGACACTTAACGGTCATGTACGATTGTTCCGAGTATCGACACGCGTAAGTCAAACGGCACGCCCTGTCTGTGCGTCATGGAATGTTTCGGACATTCACGACGCGTGTCAACTTGATAACAAAAAATCACGTTAACATTCCATAACTCTCGCGGCGATGCCTATAAGAAATTTCTCACGCAGAACAAAACTATTATGGCTTTTCAATCATAAAAAAAATTGTTCAAATATGCAACGCTCATAGGTCCGAGCACCTGTTTGTAGCAAAAAATTGCATAAGTTTTATTAAAACTTAGAGAAGAAAATGTTTATTTTTTCATCCATGCAACTCTCAATCGCGTAAAAAACCGAAATGCGAATACTCCGCGTAACTCAAGAATCAAGTGTATTATCTTTTATTCGCTATATGCAACTAATAATATACATATTTTGCGCGCACAATATCCGAACTAAAACTTTGGATAAATCTTTTGATTATTAATTAGTCTTGAGGATTTCTAACTTGAAGTAGCCTGAATAGACAATTGCTGGCTTCGACATTTCATAAAATCGTTTTTTTTTATATTTTTTCCAAAATTATAAGGAATAATTTGTTGATTCGTTCGCAAGGGTCAATCGTCAAAATTGGTAAACTATTTCTAGGTAATGCCACTGGAGAACAATATGAAAACACCGTCGCACTTCGTCGGTTGCCCGGGTGTCCTCAACACCGGCATGTTCTGCGTCGTGTTACTGTACAGCACCGTGGGCTTCTTCGGCTACTGGAAGTACGGCGAAACCACGAAGGCTTCCATCACGCTCAATCCCCCGCAGGACCAGGTGCTGGCCCAGTCCGCCAAGGTGATGATCGCCATCGCGATCTTCCTTACTTACGGACTTCAGTTCTACGTGCCTATGGAGATCATCTGGAAGAACGCCAAGCAGTACTTCGGCTCCCGCCGACTTCTCGGCGAGTACTCCCTTCGTATCCTATTGGTGATCTTCACCGTCTGCGTGGCGATCGCGATCCCCAATTTGGGCCCGTTTATCTCCCTCGTCGGGGCCGTGTGCCTGTCGACATTGGGTCTTATGTTCCCGTCGGTGATCGAGTTAGTCACCGTCTGGGAGCAAGAGAACGGCCTCGGCAAGTGGAACTGGCGGCTGTGGAAGAATATCGCCATCATCTCCTTCGGCGTGTTGGGCTTCATCACCGGCACGTACGTCAGTATCCAAGAGATCCTGGAAGGGAAATGAGGCGTCGAGTCCGGCGCGAGGAGCGGCCCGTGGAGGCCGCTCGCGAATACCGCTCGTCGTCCGACAGCCGTCGGGCGGCGAGTACCACGTATGACAGCGTGCTAGATGACGCGATGCTGTCAGCAGACAGGCCACCGGGTCCGGGACAGGCGTTACTTCCGAATCCCTATCCCTGCGTCCTTCCTGTCGCTAGCATGACATCTGTGACAATAATGACGACGACAACGAATGATGATAATGACGAAGATGTCCGCGGATCTTCACATCATTGAACCTTCATGTATCATTTTCTTAACGATAGTCAAATTAGTATTACGCACATCGTGCTCGGTTGACGGAGCGCAAGGTGTACGGTCGATCGCGGGAATTCGAGAGATAACTTCATATTGCGGTCTCTCGATAACTTATCGTTACTTATCGCGCGAGGAGGCACGCAGGATCGGCATTACACATGGCAAGCTCGACCGTTGTATTGGAATGGCGTAAAAATTACGTCAAATCAAATGAGGTCCAACAAAACAAAATTGTATATTTTGAAACAGAAGTAATTTCGTTAATTGAAAAAGTGATCTTGTTTCAATATACTTTTCTAAAATCTAAAAATATGTTATTCAAGACCTTGCTTTAAAAGCAAATTGCAAAATTTTATTTAACACAGACCTTATAGAAGAAAGTTGATGAATCTTTCACGCTAATTTAATACTTTTGTGATCTTTTGAGGAACAGGATTTTGAACTGTCTTTGACAGATGTTTACATTTTATTTTATAATTGTACACCCGCGCGTAGCAGAGCATTAAGACAAGGTATTAATCGCGTTACTGACTTCTAGGAATACCAATTACTGAATATTAACGACGAACCGATGACGTTCGCTCCGTTTTTCCCGATCATTCTATTTAAACGCCGCATCGGCCGTACACGCGTAGCTTTCTGTTGACTTTACAACTGCGGGACGGTTTTTTTAGAATAGCGTACGCGATTTCCTGTGGTCGTACGCACATCCTATATACCCTCTATATGTATATTGTGTATATAAAATACACAAACCATCGTGTTTTGTGAATGACAAGTGGGAACCATACACCTCAATTATTACGTGCTTATTCGCTCGATCGTATTATCACCGTAAGACAGTGGTCTCAATTTGGTCACGTGGGCCATAACGCGGACACGAGGTCTTCACCTGGACGTCGACGAAGAAGTTGCGTTCGTGCACAGAAAGAACTTTTGTGTATTACGAACGCATTAGTATGCTCCTCACATACATATGTATGTATATAATTGAATCAGCGCAAAATCGTCTACCTGTTCTTCGAAACTTTACAAAGGATTTGATCGTCCATCTTAATCCGTCGCAAAAGTTTGCGTCCCGCGCGCCTGAGACTTCTGTAAAAAAAAAAAAAACGATCTGTAGATACTGCGTTTCGCGGAAGAACGTCGATCGAGCGCCACCATGAAGTTTTCTCCAGAAAATTGGCGTATGTTTGATCGTGGGGGAAATGCGAAGCATTATTTAAAATATTAAAATCGTCATTTATACATTTTTTAATAGAATGTTAAATCTTTTGTATTCGAATGGTTTTGAATTTGTCGATTTGTTACATAATCTTGTTCAAAGCTATCTAATTTTAAAGATGAGAGGAAATATTTAATTTCAAATTTTATTTTCTGTAAAAAAAAACCTTTTACACGTTTTATTTATTTATTTGTGTAAAATTATCGTCCTTTTTGTAATATACATATTTCAATATCTAAGATGTGCAAATGAAACGAATGACTCTTCTGGTTCTGGTGCTATTTCTTATTAGCTAATCTGAAAATTTACGATTGCAAGATCGATTTTTTCAGACGTGACGATCAATTGGCGTGATTTCACCGCAAACTGCTGGTCTGTTCCTAGTGCATGATGCACGATGATGTACAAAGAAGATTAATCCATTAAGAGTAATAGGCACAGGAAAGTGCATAGGTGTAGTAATGTCGTGATGCACGCTTGCTAGTCTGTAAGTAAGATCGCGAGGCACCGCCGCGCGCTAGTTCGTCAGCACCCTGCCGGAAATAATTCTAGGAAATTCTACACAAAAATAATATATACTACCAGAATATAAGAAATTCTACATAAATTTAAAAAGTGTTATTCAATATGGAAATGCTAGAATTGGAACTTTTGTTAATTTTTGTAATATTCTACAATTAAGCAGATGTTTTAAGAATTTGTTGTTTCTCAAATTTTTAAACCTAGTAAAGTTTTGTATAGAAATTTTGTATAGAAATTTTTTCCGCTAGGGCACGCGCGAAAATGACCCTTGAATTGGCCCTAAAGTGTGCCGATACAATTGTTAACACATTGATTAAAGGGGAGGTAGAGTCGGAAATAGAAGACGAATATTCGGATGTTTATCGACATGTTGTCACATCGGCGGGAAACAGGGTGGCAAGGATCTGCCAAGATCTTTTGAAAAGTGTCACAAATGGAGAATTAAAATTTTATCAGCGGAAACGAAGCTGGCAGATGCGACACGAAGATGTATTTTGACTACTTTGAAAAACTAACTTGTGCGTTTTACACATTCGATAATTAGCAATAATCTCGATATATCTTTAGAGAGATACACTTTTGTAAGATATGCAAACGACAAGACTGCAAATAACTATTTCTATTTTTAGAAAAAAAATTTATACCCTTTTCTCATTGGCCTACCTCAGAAGATCATTTTTTCAAAGGCAGTATTAAAATAAGATTAAAATTGTACTATTTAGATCTGAGCGTCATCGTCACTATTTTCAACTCTTTATAGTGATTTCTGTATAACAATACCTATGTACAATATCTCTCTCATATTAACATCCAAAAACGTAAGCAAACTGATAAGCAAATGAATTTTGCGTTTTGTAGAAGTATCTAACATGACGGATAATTTTTTAATACGTAGATTGTTCGAAGTAATTGAGGAAATCGTTTGACGGATAAATGCAAGCTTTAGCTAAAAAGTATAAAAATGCAACTTCGTATATAAGAAATTATGAAAAAGTATCGAATAGCATATATCGTGAACATAGAATGTGAACGAAGACTTTAGTTAGACGCAAATTTGATATTAAAATCTGGTCTTATATTTGAACGCAATTGGTATTAATAATCATATAACTACATAACGCAGTTTTACAGCAATAAATCCATGATCGTTTTGAGAAACTGAAATTAGCTCATTAATTGCTAAACTAAATTAGTAATTTAATAACAGATTCTTAATCACAAGTGAAGTTGGTGAATTTACGATATACATGTACAAGTTCTTTAAAATATTCACTTTGCATATGTTGGATGAACCGAAATGTTAGATGATTCGAACTTCTCTCGTCATTATAATAATAATGATAAAAATAATTTTCTTTACAAAGAGTACATATAGAGACGATGAAATACTATAAGATATCCTTTTCAAAACTCAATCTATGTCCTCTAATCGAGTTCTATTTTCGAAACAAAAGAGACATGTTTTCTAAGGCTATACATATTAAACAAACGCTACGAGACACACGTAATTTCTACTATTTTAATATATAATATAATAATGCGCCATCAGTTTTCAGATAGAAGGAACCTAACCGCGCTTTCGACCGCGACAGAGAGAGAATAAAGTAGAATAGCGATTTTATTAAACCTTGAAATACATTAGATGTGCTTTACAGTATACAGTGGATTAATACAAGTCTGAGATGAAATTAAGAAGACGATAAAAAAAACACGATGTATTGCAGAAAATAAAGAAAGAGAATAATACAAGTAATGTGCAACAGAGAAAAAGTGGTAGAGAGAGACAGAAATACCAGATTTGGGCCACAGGTCCTATTTCCGGGTTCCTATCCGTAGAATGAAAATGGGTGCACAATACGTAAGCCGTATCATTTTCGATAGGGCCGTATTATTATCGTAATGATGCGCTCATTTTGATAATTTTTAGAATTTTGTATAAGAGAACGTAGAAATGGAGTAACTTTGCCGAGACGAAAATTTACGATCGATGCACGGCGATTATTACCGACCTTCTGTTTTTCCGCTTAGGAGAAAGAGAGACAGCACACGCATATATCTGTCGTTGAAAAACACGTGGCTTCTATAATTATTGTACATACGTAGTTACAGAATCTTTCTCTATTAACAATGTAAATTCATAATGTGTAGAACTATTTGTTAAATATAATAAATCGACAAAGTAGATTTTTACAAAACAATTGCTGTTATTGTATTCCTTGTTTTCTCGCTTTGCACAAAACCCAGTATTTTTGTATTCCGATTCTGGATAGTCGCTGGATCTGCTTCACTGCGTGCTTTCGGAGTAATAATCACCGTGCAAACGGCGTTTTTTGCATGCACAACCGTCTTGTGCAGATTGTTAATTTGTCAATCATTATGTATTAGATTTTACAGTATTTAATATACGACGTATAAAACAATGTTTTATACAATATCTTTTTTTTTATTTCGTTCAAAAAGCTGAATAAAGTAAAATTTGTAAAAAATAAACCACGATTTTTATGTCTAAATTGACCCCATGCACATACGGTAAGAAAACATGCATTTATACTCGTATTATAATAAGCGCCCCAGTGAGAAATGATGTCGAATCGACGTCAATTGGACGGTGTCGATGTCGTTTCGACGTCGATCGACGAATCATTTCTCACTGGGTATTGATTGGGCGCGAAATATGTGCGAGATACTATCGTGTTTTTTAATATAAGATGATGAGTCAAAGAAAAGGCGACAATTAGTTACAAATGAAAACACTAAGCGAGAAAAAATAATACGATAATACAAGAGAATGGAAATTTATAAGCAGGGCCAGACTAAAAGGAAAAATATACGTTTGTTGCATTTCAAATGGACAAAATATTTTATGAGAATACGAACACGTTGACAGGAAATTGGTAATTTAAACTGGTATACATCGAATTACATGTATTGGGTATAAACGTTGGCCCCGGAACAAAATAATCCCGCTGAGGAAAACAAATCCCTATCAAATTTCGTAGATTATTAGAAATATAAAGGAATAGACGCTGACACTTCATTACGATGACTTCTTCTTCATTGTACTGATTATCTGGTCGTACACAAGAGTCTTCACATCTTTGGCCCACATGTAGTCCACGTGATTAAAATTCTCATCGTCTATTAAAGTCAAACCGGTGGGATTGGTCAGCTCACTGTGCAATTTCTCTACGTCCTACGGGAAGAATTATAATATAAATATAAACATTCGTAGAGATACAAGAAATGTACAGTTTTATTTGACTAGACAACACAAGCGCGCGCTTATTCGCGCGCGCCATTTGCTTTCACTAAAAATTCGCATGGTTTAACAGTTGCAAATAACACGACATCTCGGAAAAGCGACAACAATACTTCGAGGCTTTCGACTATCGACTTAACACGCCTTTTTTATATAGGACACTTAACATTGAGTTTCGAATAATCGCTGATTATGTTTCATGATAGAAGAAACTCGATTTCTTCAACTTATTTCAATTTCAAGTTATTCGTTATATCAATAAGAATCGTGATTTGATTTCACTCTAAGACTACGTTTCACTTGCTGCTACAAATGCTTCGAAAACATTCTTCTCCGTCTCTCGTTATTAAAGGAAAGAGAAAAAACCGTGTCTCGAAGCATTTGCAGCATCAGGTAGACCGTAGACTTAAACTCAACGTTAGAGCATGAAATAAAAAGTATTCTAATTACCCTAGCAGTAAGCATGCTCGAGATAATCGTTATGTATAAAGAAATACAAACCTGGACATTTGCTAACCAATCATTTTCGCTGTAATACAAGTGGATCGGTGCCGTGACTCTGCTTAAATTATAGTTTGGTGGATTCCACGTGCCGTAAACATTTTTATTACCGAGAGTTCCATAATCGAATTTCTTAAATTTCCCCGAGAATAAAAATGTTCCTGTTGACAGATATGCCGTTATTATAGAAAATGTTTAAGGGATTTGAATACATGATGGATATTTCGTTAGTTTTTTACTTAAAGTACTGAGAAAAATATCCGATTAAATATAATCGGATAATCCATAATATCATCAATAAATGTTTACCAGACTTGATGAGTTGACCGTAGTGGATGAGTTGCTTCGTGGCTGTAGTAGAAGGAACATGTCCTAAGGCTGCTGGTAGAATAGCCTGGGGAAATGAGCAAATATACATGATATGGCAAATATATAAACGTAATATAATATCATGACTGATATTAGGTGATACAGTAATATTACAGATAAGCTCTTAGTTCAAAAATAAAAATTAATAATAGAGTTGTAAAATATTACACAATCTTGATAATACTGTAAGTTGAGAGTATTACAAAAAAATAGTTATAGATTATTTAATAAAATAAGCTATCATGAGTATATTAAAACGTATCAAATACATGAAAGTAAATAAATGAATAGATGGAAGTGTAACTCAATTAAGAAATGCCAATTATCGGTGTCTTGATCGACAAATGACATTTTTTAATTGATTTAAAATATTACGTTTTATAGACACAATTATGTGTACATACATACAAATTTGTGTATATTTAATATAAATTGTCTTGCTTATTATAATTTAATGTTTTAATTCGAAGTAAGTTGTGCTTAAAAATATTCTCTAAAAATAAGATATGCTGATATTAAAAGTGATATCGTACCGGATCAAATTGTTCAGCGTTAAATCCAGCTAGCAGGAATATCGCATTTGAGCATATCGGTTGCGAGATAGCATTTTCCGCGCACACTAAGTGCTGAATTGCTTTTGTGAATTCGTTGTTAGGGTTGAATTCGTACGCGCCCAACATATTCCACATATACTGCAACGATATATTTCACGTGTCAGAAAATGTGAAAACGCGAAATCATCGAAAAATCAATTGTTTTTTTTTAAATCGGAAGAGTTACGTACGTCGAGGCCAGTGGTGAACTGGGAGAGCAACTGCAAGAAAGGACTCTTCATTCTACCACAGTAAACCATCGGAGCCATGGCATACACCTCCTCGAAATATTTCTGATACTCGGGCCGTTCCGATGCCATGACGAAGAAGGCGGTAGTACCCTGGCTGTGCCCTAGGTAAAACATTTTCTGGAGGCCAGTGGTGTTGACAACATGATCTATCATTGCTGGCAGATCTTGTGTGCCAATCTCGTGCCAACTGAAATAAAAGTATCCATTTGCATGAATTACTGGGTTTACGTTCGATTAAAAGAAACATATTAAAGATTAGAGAAGATATTATTCTCGCTCAGTTTCGATACTGTTATATAGATTTGATTTTTATCTTTTATATACGTCAAGGGTGAGTTTTAAAGGCTGTCCCAACCTTTTACCATAAGAGGTAAATTACTGACCGCAACTGTAGCCAACTCGGGGAAAAAATGGATTCTTACCTGAAGCTCCAGTAATCTTTTGCCTTGATTTTTTTATGTGTATGAGTTTGAGCATATCGATTGCCACGCGCATTACCAAGCCATACGTCGTAACCCTCATCCGCCAGAATAAATGCTAAAATATTAATATCAGAATGCAATGATAACAACAAATTAGTTAATATGCAAACAATGGTGCGTATAAAAATTGTTAAATTGTCAACCTATATTCTATCTTATAATTTAATTCGAGTACAATTTTTGAATTTTAATTCCAAAATCGCATGAGGCTAATCTTCAGTTGAGGATATTACAACTAGTTGAGGATAATACAAAAATATTTGAAGAAAGGGCATAACCAAATTTCGTCCGTTTGGCGGACCTCACGGATCGAATCAAATTGTCGTCTAAATAATAGCTAATGATAATATATTAACCTGGGAAAATTTTCAAGTTGAACATGAACCGCTAAACGGGCGAAAAAAAACGGGTATTGTAGGCCATGCTCTTTTATCTGAAATAATGATGAACCTATGCGCGTATGCGCACAAATCTATTAATTTATGATTGTTGCGTGATTAGCATCAGAGATTGAATTCTTTTTGACACGCACTTTGTCTAAAAATTTAACTTAATATATTTAAATACATATATAATAGGCATTCTCGAATAATGTTTGTGCAAAAACATTTCCCCTCATTTGAGAAGTGAAACGTACTTAACACTAAACTTTTTCTTTACCTAAACTTTTTTCGCGGCCAGAAATAACCCAAACCGACGAATCACACAAAAGGCCGTGCATCACAAACACAACGGGTTTTTGGACGTTTGAGGTGGTAGAGTTAGCTCGTCCTTTTATCCGATGTACTTCCAAAATATAACCGTCAGCAGTGGTTACATTATGCAGTTCACCGTCGTAGCCGTATTTGCTTATCAGTTCCATCTAAGTAATACAATGACATCTTTCTAATTCATACTACATACTGTAAAATTTATGTAATCGATAAAAATGAAAAAATTATTATCAAAGCGCGGTTAAATATAATTAATGTTAGATTGAAATTAGTATGCAAGATGTTCAATTTAATTACCGTGGAGATTGTTGAAGAAAGTTTCGTTAAATTAATTGTAGATAATAAAAATATTTGATTATCTGAAGAAGTTAACTAAGAAGTTTTTAGTTTTTGAAAATAATTCCTTTTTTTAGATTAGAATCTGCGGTTTCGAAAGTTTCAAGGCCTTACAAGGATTTGGATTCGAGTTTCGAAGACTTTAAAATCAGAGTTCCAACTACTTCTAATATAGTCATTTATATGATAGCGACTTATTATTAGCCTTGTTTGAAATTGCCATAAAATAGTTTTTATATATTTTCTTTCTTTTTATTAACTATTTTTACCCTTAAATATGCAATCTTATCGAAAACCCGCAATATAAAAGCATTTTATTAATACCTTTATTTTCTAGAAATATTATCATAATAAGTTGCTTAATTGTTGAACCGTTTCTTCTCCTTACTTTTTCCAGAAAATATTAAATAAATATATATACATAATTCTCAAATATTAAAAAATTATAGACCAGTCAGTAATATAAAATATGTAATTTATATCAATAATTTAATTAGGGTGTAAAAATAACCCCAGGTAGTTCACGTAAAAAGAATTAGGTAACTATTCTCGGATTAAGAATCATTTAAATTTAAGAAATTGTCACGTTTCAAATATGATAATAAAAATTATTTTACAAAATTTATAGTTTCTCTATTTCTTATATTTTTAATATTTAATTTAATGCGCTTAAATTTGTGCTGACAAAAGCAAGCAATGGTTTCCACTCACCGTGGTAAGCGTTGCATCTTCAGGGGGTGTTAACAAGTCCGGCATGTCTGGTACCCGATCTAATGGATTCAATTTTGGTAACAGATCTAACATGCCGTCCAACCACCCAGCATTCGTGGATGCCAGGATCGAGATGAGGAATATCGGTAGCAACATGATGAGTTCGTTGTCATACAAACCGATGAAATGGAAAGGAATAAAGTGAACTATTTTTTCTAAAACGCGCGGCGGTTATATATACTGGCGCTTATGTCGTTTACGCATGATGAATAACATCAGAGTGTCTGTGGCTTTATGCAACTTTATTCAATGCCATCTGTTAATTTATCATAATTTCAATAATGAATAATGATTGACGTAGCAAGTCGTAATTGACATTATGAAAAAAGTAAGAGGTCTATGGGTGTTATTACTGTCCAAGTGGATCAGTTGTTTAGTCACGAAATGATGTAGTATTTTATAAACCATTCATATGTAGATACATAACGCATATATTTATTTCTTTCAGATTGAAAATTTAGTGAAAGAACCGAAGAAAAGAGTTACCTTTTGATGTTATCTCAAAGGTACTTTCTTAAATGATTCTTAATCCGGGAATAATCACTCAATTCTTTTTACGTTAATCACCTGGAGTCATTTTCAAACTTCAATTGAAAATTATTGATATAAATTACATATTGCATGTTACTGACTGTTCTATAATTTTTTGTATCAGAGGATTATGTATATAGATTTTCAATATTTTCTGGAAAAAGTAAGTCAAAATCGCCAAATCCAAGATCTGCAATATAAAGGATATATCGAACTGATCAAGAATTAAAAATTGTCTAAAATTAACATATACAGCTGAAGGTTCATGAATTGTTTAAAACAGGCAACGCACGAATGTTTTTATTTATTAATCAAATATTTTACGTAGTAAATGTTAAATCGAAGATATAAAAAGATCAAAGGTTGAGTAAGACGTCATGTGATCGATGGGTAATGACAAAAGAAAATGAACTTTGTTCCAACAAATGTTTTAATCGTCAAAGTTTATTGCACCTGTATAAATATGTCAGTGTGTATGCACTAGTATTAGTTTTATCGAATGTTTTCGTGCGTGACTCTTATGTAATACATCTATTTATATCAACTTTGTTATATCCCAGGCAGCACATGTTAGTTTAAAAAACGTTTCTTAGACGTGTCTAATGTCTAAGAAACGTAAAGTACCATAAAGATACGGTTTAAATAGAAACCGTTCTTAAACCTTAATTTTAAAAACGTATTTTTCGCGTTTCTACAAAAACGCGAAAAATTAATTTTGTCGGTTCAAAATTACTATAATCAGTATAGATGGAATACTAATTTCTACTTAAAAATTTGCGAGTTTTAATTTTTTTTATATCAGACTTTATAACTGACTTGACTATAGAAGCAAGAATAAAAATCATTATATTTTATATTATAGGTATATGTATATGCAAATTGTATTTTTGAAACGCAGGCAGTTGAGTCTGTCAAAATAAATTTGTGATGTAGACATTTGACAATTCAAATGATGAATTTTATCTCCGCCAAGGTACATCGAATCGTACATAGAATGAATTTGTATGGAAACTTATAATTCATCTTCAAGACGTTTATCTCCAAGATAATATACATTCAAAAACAATATAAATTTTACTTTATTTATATGGAATAAACTCTTTGATATTATTCTTTAATATTATTTTAATTTAAAAAATTTCTCCTGATGTTTAAGTAGTGCGATTCTGTACGTATCTCTTAAGCAGTATTGTTGTCGATGTATTACATTGTAGTCACATTGTAGACATATTACGTATGGTCACACGTTGATATACTTTTTTATATATCCACGTATGCTCTTGCGCAATGTGACTCCAACATATCTCTGTATGAGTCTTATATGTCAAAAAAGTCTGGATAAAGACGCTAAATCAGGTACATGTTGATTTTACTTTGATTTTACTACCACTAATTTTACTTAGGTCATTCTACATATGTATGTATAATATGTATTATAATTATATTTATAGTTTTTAACTTGACTGTATGTATACATATTTCGAATGGGACTTCGGTTCGCGCGGTCGATCTACGCTACAGCCATCTATACGCCGGTAAGTCACTTACAAGTGCTGTCGGTAACTCGTCTTAGAGGGTAAAAGACTGGTTCACGTATGTACTAAAACTCGACACTGTATGTGCACAATAAAATTGTGAAAGAAAGAACCGCCTCAACTATCACTTACTATTGTAGATGAAAGATTCTTGTTCAGCGAAGGTGTTTTATACAGTCAATTTCTTTCACAAACTGATTTTGAAGTTTTTAAGAGATCATGCACTTTCTATAGGAGTATTAATTTGGCAAAGTGAAAGGTAATTTTTATTTTAAAAAGAATATTTTATAAAATATAAATACAGTTTATTACTATAAAATTGTACAATTACAAATATCACAGCTGAGACATATTGTATCTTATAGGAAAAGAACCATGGTAATCACTAACCCTGCGTTCCATTTAACAAATATTGAAATTAAGCCAACAATCACCTACAAACGACGAACAAACAATTTGCAAAAGTAAAAAATCGAAGTTAGTGGAAACTCGTCTTTACCTTCAACTGTGATTCAGCAAAAGATATAATTTTTCGTTTTTAAAAGAAAATACTGAACCAACAAACGCTATAATTAGACCAACAATCACTTACAAACGACCAACAAACGACCAACAAAGTAACTCGTTACAAGTAACGAGTTACCTCCCAACTCTGATCACGAGACACGGTAGTCTCTCGCGCCAAGTATAAACGTAGCTAGAACGCGCGCACGAGACCGATTCCTTTATCCCTTCAACTTATCTTATCGACCTACTTTACCTATTAGATAATCAGTGTTTATATAAGTCAAACAAATAAACTGGAATCAAAAAAAGGCATGCAACAACAGATCTTAGATTATACTATTTCAAAAGAGCGTTATAAAGCGAACAAAGGACATTGTTCCATGAACATTATTAAAAGTAATTACTTCCGTTCAACAGTCAAATTAAAAACTCGACAAAGTACTGCTTTGATCGTACATTTCAAAATATAGATAACGTTTCATGCTATGCAAATGCAATATTACAATACATATTGCATTCAAGTATATTATTAGGAAAGAATTACTTAAAGCTGATAAACTAAATGTTTTAAGTATATCATTAGTATTGATAAATGAAAGTGGAATACAAAATTTGAATATTTATACAATACGACAATATTTAGGAGAGCACTTCATGCTTCGTGTAAAACGAAATACTTTAGAATTCCTTAGTGCTCTTTGCAAAGCTTTATATCTTGAATTTTTTAGATGCAGATACAAGATAAATTTTCTTTTTTCCATGAAGAGATACAAGTTATATTTCTTGAATTCCTTCTATTTAGATATAGATGCAAGATGCACTAAATTATTTTTTCGGAGAAAAATGCAGATACAATTAGTATCTGTATTTGTATTGGTGTCTTTTGAAAAATGATACAAAGTTCTCTCTCTCTGTGTAAAACATGATTATACTATATGTATATAAGGAATCTAGGGCATCAAATTACTTTTACTAGTTGGCGCATGTGGTAATGTGGTAATAGAAAAGTTATTATATATGTACTGATAATAATAATGTACACGCTTTTTTCAATTTCCATTAACAATTTAAAAAAGAAAGGTTATAATCTGAATGATTTAGTAAACATTACATTTTGACATAGTCAATCGGACGACATGTACTTAATAATTTGTCCAAAATTAAACACACATGTATATATTTTGTAGCTGCTCGTTTATATGATTATACTTCATAACATTTATTTGTTTATTTTAGTCACTCTCGATTTAGCAACCAGCATCAAGTTTTTTGCATTAAATATATTATTTTATTAAAATTAAATTGATTCATTTTGCATTGCTACCTCTTTTATTATTCTTTTGAATTACGTTTTCTGTTACGTCTTCCATTGTTGACATATACTCGATTATCCATATCTTTTGAAACACTTTTTATGGAAATATATGCCGAAACACCACATACATAAATATATCATAATTACAATTGCATTTAAATTGATTAAAATTTTTTACTTTTTTGCAATCATGTTCTACAACTTCTTATCTTTTTACTTTTCAATTAAATTTAAGTATCTTCTAGTAGACAGGGTGCTCCGCAATGTTTTGACCGCCGTTCACGGGAAGGTAGAGGGACTAAGACAAACAGAAAAGTCCTCTACCATTTTGCACTTGAAGGAATAGTTATCGAGATATTGATGTTCTAAAATCGCCGTATTAGCCCGACCTACTGGCAAATGTAAGCGCGCGGTGAGATCTTCCCGCCCCTCGGTCGCCGCTCAAAGCGGTGCGCGGCGAGAAGTAGGGTGGCACAATTGTAAATAAATTTTTTATAAACATTTGCATAACTTTGATAACAATCTATCTCCCATCTAAATAATAAGTGTTTGAAATTCAAACACTTTCGTGTCGCCGTTTTCAAGATGTTTATTAGTGTTTGACTACAACGAAAGTGTTTGAAATTTCAAACACTAATAAACATCTTAAAAACGCGACA